CATATCCTAATCAATTGTTTGTTTAAAATGTGAATTAGTAATTCATCGTTTACTTATATCTTTATCATTAACAAAAGATTTAAACAATTTAACTTCCTAAATCTGTTGTGAAGAAGAAAATATTTAGTTTAACATATAAAAAGCACAATACTGATTAAATATGTTTTTAAAAATGTTACATTCTTTTGCAGTATTTTAAAAAACCATAAATGTTAAAATGTTATTGCTAATATTTTGGGTTACTGTGCTACTACATTAGTTCGACCAATTAAATCATCACTTATTTTTTTGGATTTTTAAAAGCGATCTTATTTTTGTTACTATTTTTATGCTCTTTTAAACATTTTATTAAAAAAATAAATAATTAAATGCGACTGTGGTCTTATAATTTGGGAATTCCTAAAATATCTTCACTAAGTTTAGTAGACTGATATTTTAGATAAAGGAGTATATTTCTGAAAAGAGTTTTAAGACTACTTGGTGTTACTTTCTTTTTAAATTTTTTTTTAATTAATCGTTACTCTAAAATAAGGCTGATTAAATTAATGAGAAGATATTCCTTCAGGTCATTGCCCATAGAAATCAAAATATCGAAGGGTGGGGTCCTTCTCATGCATGTGCATGGCAACAGGGCCTGAACATCCAGCAATCCAGGGTGGGGGTGAAGCGTCGCCTGAAGAATGACGTCACCAATACGCCCAGCACAGTCGCTTGCTTGTCTTGGATCGTTGAGTTAGCTCACATTATCCACTTCCGAGCTAGTCGTTGCTTGGACGTTTTATTGTGTTGGTTGGAATCGCGAGAGTGCTTAGATACCCCGCGTGTTTGTTAAGTGATTTGATAAATTAAAATCGTAATTAACGTAGAAATGGCTACCGAAGTCGAGAATAATGTACCTGTACCGACTGAAACTAAAGAGATCAAAGAAGAATTAACAACCGATAACAAAGCCGAAGAGGCAAAGCAAGAAGCCGGTGCAGGTGACGCGCCCGCCGCTACAAAAGAACCCGCTCCACCAAAAGTTCTAGTGCACAAATCGAATTTCGAAAAAGATGTCGTGTATCTGTACCAGTTTAGTCGTACACCCTTGCTACCATCCATTTCGCCCTATTGTCTGAAGGTCGAAACCTGGCTGCGACTTGCAGGAATCAAATACGAGGTATTTAAATTATTATTATAAATTTACAGTAACAATTTTTTATAATTTATTAAGTTCATTGTACTAATTAATTGTGGATAATTAGCTGATTTTTGAAATAATTCAACGTTAGGGTCGAAATTGTCCACAGTCGGCCATGTTAATCATGTTTTTCATGCAATGGCGTCCATAAACCTTATATTGTGCCCTCATGTGTCTGATTTTCGATTTGGCTTTTAATTTTTAATCGATTTTACGTAAATAATGGGGGCTGTAGGTATGCAAATTATCATTTCTTTATTTGTATTATTGATAAAACAGTATTTACCTATATTGTCGCAGTAAACATGTTTTTTAATATCACGTAAACAAGTTTACGTTCTTGTTATGCAGTCCACAAATAATTACTTAAAAAAAAAAAGAAAATGATTAACACCTGTGATCATTTTATTGTTATTAATCAGTAATGCATGCGGGCGCTGTTTGTTTTAAATATAAAAGCNATCGATTTTACGTAAATAATGGGGGCTGTAGGTATGCAAATTATCATTTCTTTATTTGTATTATTGATAAAACAGTATTTACCTATATTGTCGCAATAAACATGTTTTTTAATATCACGTAAACAACTTTACGTTCTTGTTATGCAGTCCACAAATAATTACTTAAAAAAAAAAAAGAAAATGATTAACACCCGTGATCATTTTATTGTTATTAATCAGTGATGCATGCGGGCGCTGTTTGTTTTAAATATAAAAGCTAAATATACTTACGACTAATTATTATCGGTAATAATGACCTGAGCGTTTGTAGAAATCAAGCTGATAGATAATTAATTGTGATTTGGATGTTTTTACCGTTAAGTATTTCTTAAAAATTAATCGTTTACTAGGTACCTACCTACTCACTTGTGTGATTAATTAATAGAGTTTATTTTATTTGATAAGTATTTAATACATGCTCAATGAAAATACAACAATATAGGGATTCTTAATAATTTATTTACTACACATTAAAGTGGTGTTTTAATTTTATAATTAATCATATCTAGCACCTAATCAGTGAATGCAGTTTTGTTTTGTAGCAGAATGGATTGACATATTAGGTAAATTATTCCTTTCGCTTCAATGATTCATTCTACATTTTATGTGTTGCCTGCTGCATGTTTGTTAAATTAGTTTAAAATTGGAAATTTATTTTTAACTAGGTAAATTCGTGTGTTTATATTCTCATAACATACGTAAAAAGAAAGTATTGAAAAATGTACAAACTCTGGCGAAAGGTACAACTTTGTGACACATTCATAAGTGTACCTCGGACGAGACAATGATTTTTTTTTTGTTTCGGACAGAAACAGTTCCGGGGGTATGAAATAAGGGAAGTTCTAGCCAAAAATTCGCGGTATGTACCTGAGTTTGCGTTTTGTAGGCGTATGACTAGCACCCCAGAGTTCTGGAGTGGAAATATAGCTCTAGGGTAAAAAAATACATAACCAGGGCTAGTTCTACTCAAAACTAACACACCTGGTCGTGTTTGGTTTAAATTTGGCGCTAACATATTCTAAAACCACGAAATCTTTCTTGACCTTATTTTTCAATTGACCTCTAAACAGTCGAGTTCTTGTAAAAATGCATAAGGACTTTTCGATACAACTCTTTGGGATCTTCCCAGAACTCCTGCCAGAACTTAAAAACGAAAATTTTCAAATTTCTTTTGGAGACGTTTTTGCAAAAACCACCAAGATCTCTAGAACTCCAATTCTTATCGTTCAGCTTTTCTGCGATAAAAGGGCGATTCGTGTGGTTAGCACCCAGAAATTTCATTTTGTTTTTTTTTATTATTAAAAATGCAGAATTAACCTTACACTCCTTTGTGAACTAGAACTACCCTTAGACAGTAGGTACAGAACTCACAAGAAAATTCAAAATTGATGAATAAGGGGTACCAATTTCCTGACGATTAAATATGCTCCGAAGGTCCGTCCTCTCTAATATTTATTTATGGTATTATTGAACCTAAAGCAAAAAAGTAACTAGTTCTTGAAAAATTCACAATAAATAAAAATAAGAAATTATTGTATTTAAAATGATGACAAGTATGTGAAAAATGAATACCTAAACTCATCAGTATGTGCCTACTTTTTTATTTTGCAAATTGGCAATGTTAATGCCTTTAAATGATCATCATTTAATAATAAATGACAATCACCGTTATTTTGTACGTGGCACATCGTAGAGATCAGTACGTTTATGAAAAAGGTATAATTTTCTTTGCACTAAAGCTATTATACGTATACGACGATGAATTATCTTCAAATTAGTAGGTGATGCTAGTTGTAGTGGTGGTGTGCTCATTCGTTTGCTCTCTTGTTGATTAATGAAAGAATTGGTTAGTTCGTTATCCTGACGGCATTAGTGAAGCCGGACATGACTGTCTGGATGTTTGTAGCATTATTATACACACGTATAGGCACATATTATGTGTAGACAGACACACAAGAAAATCCTAATGACCCCCCTCGAGATGAATGTGTGTCTTCACATACATACTGTGGGTCGAAAGATAAATTATGGGCGGTGCCTTTTTACTTTACTACAGCAACATCATCTATATAACTGAATAATAATTGTTTTACTGACGATGAGGTCATTCAACTTATCCTCTAAGATCAAATGTTCAATGTTCTTTTGCGTGTGTTTGCAAAAGAAATTTTTTGATAATTTTATCGTATGCTATTTTTTAACACCTGGAGAGGCAGATGAAGTTTTATCTGTTGAGTGTGCATAGGTGTACGATAAGGGTTTGCTCGGATTTTTGAACAGGCGTTTGGTAGTGATACGTATGTAAAATCGATTTTTCCATCAGGAAGACGACACCGTGGGAATAGCAAGAGAATTTGACAGCACTGAGAATCATGATGGACGATGATTTGAAAAATATCAGGGAATTTCAATAAATGTTTCGAGCAAAATCAATTTTAATTTTTATCATCATCATTATAAGTCAGTCGTTTGGTTGAACACGCACCTCCACTCTTTCCCTATACCAAGCTTCCATGTCCTTAACAGCAGGAATCTAATCTAGGTATACTTCTACTCCTATTAACTCCTGTTTTTAATTCTACCATGTCCCTAATTAGCCCTTCATGTCTGAGAAGATGACCAAAAAGGTAGGCCAACCCCCCAAATAGGAAGTCTATTACATATAATAAGTGTATACTCTTTGTGATCAAATAAAATACTGTCTGAAGTGGTCTGTATTCTGTTGAAACTGACAGACGCGGATCGCGATTTCGATTTGTGGTATTTTTTTAAACGTGCTGTTAAGACAGCAGGTAAAAGTTGGTTTGTGTTCTGTCGGAGCTGTCTACGACGCGCTGATGAGATCCAAAAAGATCGAAATCGCGATCCGCGTCTGGCAGTTTCGACAGAATACAGACCACTTCGAATTATTTTATTCGAATATAATGACGTGCCTATCACGTTGAGGTTAGCTACGCCGGGATTCGTTTCAGCAAGTAGATATCCATATATTTAAATGGACCTTGTTGGAGCATACGTAATCCTAAAATGTAGCATCGTACTACAGATGGCGTTTACCGCGCCATTTGTGGTATTTTCTAAAACGCGCTGTTAAGACAGCAGGTAAAAGTTGGTCTGTGTTCTGTCGGAGCTGTCTGCGACGCGCTGATGAGATCCAAAAAGATCGAAATCGCGATCCGCGTCTGGCAGTTTCGACAGAATACAGACCACTTCGAATTATTTTATTCGATTATGGTAACGTGCCTATCACGTTGAGGTTAGCTACGCCGGGATTCGTTTCAACAAGTAGATATCCATATATTTAAATGGACCTTGTTGGAGCATATGTAATCCTAAAATGTAGCATCGTACTACAGATTAGTTTTAAAAAAGAGCGACATGGCCTAGATGTTTAGACCAATGCTTAGCATTCGGGAGGACGCCGGTTCGATTCCAGGTCCGTCTGCCTTGGTCCAAGTTTTTCTGTGGTTTCCTTGGATCACTTAGGCAAAAGCTGGGATAGAACATTCCACAGATAATTTTTCATTCTCCTCTGTCTTCATTTCGTCCGTCTCACTCGAACCACCACCGACCCATTCCCACGATTTCGGAACGAAGGTTGAAGAGGGGCTACCGCCCTACCTAGCGTAGTGCGGAGAGACTGCCCGCACACCAGCATTAGTGGCTGATGGGAATGAGCCACCCAAAAGTTTTTTTTTCTGTTCTCTTGCTCTTTCTAAAATTGTTCGTGACCAAAACTTTCTGTGGAGTTTTCAGCTGTGTCTGCATTCATTATTAAAACGGCTCTAGACTAAAGGGTTAAAAGTAGATAATTTATATAATCTGAAATTAGAGTTTTAAAGTAAACATTTAACCCCCTATTGATATCATAATTCGCAATCACAAGTACTAAATAGCATCGTAATTAGGTTATTGCGATTTTGGCAGATGTATCAAATTCGAGTTAGATTCTATACGCGTATGTACTTTCGTATTTTGTAGATGCAGACGTCCTGTTAATTAATCTACAAAGCATCAATTGTACCTAGTTAATTTGGAATTATTTTTAATGTATATTTTAGGCCGGATGCGGGCCATTCTTGCTTTATGAATCATCGTCATAGGGACCGATGGTATCCATAAATAGCATTCATGTAATAGTAATATGGTCTTGTTGCGTACAACAGTCAACAATTTAATTTTTGTTATTGTTCAAAGGGGAGCTAGCTTTTGATCCGACTTAATACGTCACGCATTAATGCATACCTGAATTATATATTAAGTCTGAAACAGTATTATCTATTGTGCTTTAACGACAGCTCGCTTTTATAGCACACCAGAGCCAAGAAATCTCAAACATTGTTGGACAGCTTTTCTCAAAGTGACCGATAACGTCCCTTAGTGTCGCTGGGGTCCTACAGAGGAGCGGTAAAGGCCCTAGAGCCTAGACTGTAGAGTCTATTATAGACTTAATGGTATCAATCTCCAATTTCAAGGCGA